TATGGGGAATGTCAAAAGATGAACGTGTAAGGTTACATGACTTTTGGAGGGAAGAAATTAATTTTAAAACCAATGAAGAGCTTTTGGATATTCAGAAAAGATACGTAAAAAAGAAGAAAGATCTTGAAGATATATATAACGAAGGTTAGTAATTTCTATATCATTTTCTTTTGATATTCATCACAAAAATAAATATTTCGTCTAAAAGAATCATCGGTTTACTTTTTATACATTTATTATTCAAGGTCGACGTCTAGTTCTGCTTATGAGTGATGTCATTGGAATGACAACATCAGGCGCAGCTAAACATCATGACCTTATAACGTGATTAGATTTATTAAATAATTTTGAAATGCGTGAAAATAATTAAATAATTGTTCTTTTATATTTAGGAGTGATAAACCAAAAATTATTATTTGTGAAGAAGCGGGTAAATTCATAGAATTTTTAAAAATTCCGTTATATGAATAAAATAATAATGAATAAATATTTTCACGTTTATTAGGAGAAGTACTCGAAGCACATATTCTTGCTAGCTTGACAAAAAGCGCGCAGCAATTAATTCTTATTGGGGATCATAATCAATTACGCCCAAAAATCAGTAATTATCTTTATTTATTCATTCGTTTGTGAATTATTCGTTTTCTTTTTTTTAAATATCTTAAAATTTATTATTTCATTATTTCATATAGACACGGTTAGTATTTTTTTTTTATATTAGAAAATATATTTACCAAATTAATTGTGCTAATTTTCTTCTTCTCCTCTTCTTATAGTATTCTTTATCTTCTGAATCCACAATAGGAAATGATTATAAATTTGATATTAGTTTATTTGAACGTCTTGTACATGGCGAACAGTCAATGCATTTAGAAAGAACCCAACTTTTGACTCAAAGACGTATGAGAAAAGAAATTTCTGATTTTAGTTAGACAAACACTTTATCCAAAATTAGAGGACCATCCAAATACGGAGAAATATCCTAAAGTTAAAGGGATGCAACATAATGTATACTTTATGCATCATGCTAATCCTGAGGATTCTACGAGAAATGCATTCGCCCTTCAATCGCGTTCTAATAAATTTGAAGTGGAAATGGTAGTGGAAATGGTCAAAGTAATTATAGTAATAAAATAGTAAATTATAATTAAAATATATTTTATAATATTTAATAATTTAATAATTCTTTTTTTTAGTATTTTGTTAGAAATGGATATACAAAGCCTGAACAAATTGCTGTTCTTACACCATATTTAGGTACACTATTTATTAAATCTTTGTATAATAATGAACATAATATACAATATTAAAAATATTTATTATTAGGACAAATGCTAAAAATCAAAAAAGCGTTAAGTAAATCATTTGCTGTCGTGATAGACGAGCGTGATTCTGAACAGCTTACTGATTTGGAGGAAAAACTAAACGATGGTGATACAGATGAAGTCGATCTTTCGCTTAATACTATAAGTATAGCATCAAAGAAACAGTTAAATCAACAGGTTGTAAAAGTTAATTTATATCTTTTATTTATGATTTTATTTACTAATATTCAAATCTCTTCTTAAGGTGATCTTACGTACGGTTGATAATTTTCAAGGTCAGATAATTTTAATTATTTCCTGATGATTTTCTTTAAGAAAATTAAAATATTTTATTTAATAATTTATTTATTCACCTTATTCAGGCGAGGAAGCAGATATTGTTATTATTTCACTTGTTCGAAATATAACGGAACATAGCCGTAATACAATTGGTTTTCTAAAAACTATAAATCGAACAAACGTCTTGCTTTCTCGAGCAAGACTTGGAATGTACCTTATGGGGAATGCTGAACTTATGTAAAAGAATCTGGAATGTGGAGAGATGTAATAAACATCCTTCGTTCACGTAATCAAGTTGGTCCAGGATTTCCCATTGTGTGCGATCAACACCCAGAAACTAAAAACATCATAACCTATCCGAGAAATTTTGAAGAAGTATCTCCGAATGGTGGATGTTTACTTTCATGCGGTAAAGCTCTAAATTGTGGACATAGTTGTAAGTATTTCAATTAATATTTGTATAAATATATATTGTATACTAATTATAAAACTAAATTTATTTTCAGGTCCAAATAAATGCCATCCGGATGATCCAAAGTTTATATTGAAATTATTTTGATTATTGTTGTTTGGTATCAAGCTAATTTATTAATTCATTTCATACATTTCATAATAGTCATGTTTCAACAATCTGTTCTAAACCATGCAACAGATTGCATAAGTGTCTTCACCCATGTATGTTTCATATATATCAAACGAAAATAATTACAAAAATAGTTACAATATTGTTATTGTAGGTAAACGGATGTGTGGGGAAGATTGTGGAGAATGTATATTCCCAATTGGCGATCTTCTATTGCCCTGTGGACATATTTTAAAAGATGCGAAATGTTTCCAAAAATCTACTCGAGACAAAATTAATTGTCGTATTATGGTGGATAAAATGCTACGTAAATATTAATTATTCTCAAAACATTAAATAATTTCCAGAATATTTTTATTAATTCCTTCGATAATAATTATATTAATACATTTTACATCCTTATTATTTAGCATATTGTGAGCATTCAGTTACTGTTGAGGTAAATTTTTGAAGAAATATTCAAAATATTTATAATAAATGTTGATAATTTTTTTTTTTTTTTTCATTTTGAAATCCTTTTAGTGTTACCAATGTGTTTATGATATATCGTGCCAAAGCATCTGTGGCCTCATTAATCCGGAATGTCGTCATGAGTAGGGATTAAATAATTTTTATGTATTGATTTATTTTTTTTTTGTATTTCTAACTAATAAATTTTTAATTTACAAATTAGGTGTAAATCCTTTTGTTCTAGCTGTCAAGAAATTTCTATCTGGGCCAATGATGGTATTCGGGAACTTGACGATAATGATCGTATCCCTAGGACGCATCATAAAAAATGCAAACAAATTTGTGAAAAGAACCTCTTTTGTGGTCACTCGTTCGTATTTCATTATTAAGTAATTTATATGTCTTATTTTTATTTGTTATTAAATTATCAATGAATTCTCAAATTTTAGGTGCGAAGAATCATGTCATTTGAATAAAGTTTGTCCGGGCTGTAAAAAAAAGTGTAATGTTAATTGTAAGCATTCAGTATGCAATAAGGCATGTAGTCATCCTTGCTCTGTGTGTGCAGAAAAGTGTGATTGGTATTGTGAGCATAAAGGCGCTTGTGGGGTATCTTGTGGTGTTCCTTGTAACAGATTACCTTGCAATGAACGATGTTCAAAGTTATTAAGCTGTGGTCACCAATGGTAAGCGGTAATTTACAAATTTACAATGAAAGAATTAAATGAAATCGTTGATTCATGCTTAATTAAAAATTTACTAATTGTTATTATATATTTAGTATGGGAATATGTGGTGAAGAATGCCCCCCTCCAAAATATTGTACAATTTGCGCATCTGATGATATCAAAAATTCTAGTAAGAACATGAATATTTCAAGATATTTAAAATATTTAATAATTATTTAATGTTAATATATTATATTTGTTTTATTTTGTTTGATTTAGTTGTCGATTTGATTATGCAAACAACATTTGCAGAAGTTGATTGGACTACTGAGAGAATGATTGTACTTAAGTGTGGACATGTCTTTACCGCCGAAACCTTAGATAATATGATGGGGGTTTGTCATTCTATTTGTAATAATGTATTATACACGAATCATAATTCACAATTAATAATTTTTCATTTTTTAATTTCAATTCCCAAAGATGGGGAGCGTTTATCATATGGACGACGCCATGGAAAATTGGATTGACATAAAATCAATCACAGATCAACCAGGGGAACTTAAAAGATGTCCGATTTGTCGAGCTCCTATTAAAAATATTCAGCGTTATGGGCGAATAATTAAAAAATGTGTTCTCGACGTTCAAAATAAAAAGTTTTTGCAAGAATATAATCGACGTTTGAAAGATATTCAAGTAGAATTAGGAAATATTATTAAAAATTTGGAAAAGGATCGAGAAAGAGTTTTAGAAAAATTGAGAAAATCAAAATTACTTGATGCAAAACGAGGAAAAAATAACAAAATTTATAAAAGGGATAAAAGAATTAATCGTGCAGTTCCCGATATTGTTCCACCAAAAAAATATGAGATGCTCACAAAGTATTATTCAATACCAACTTATCATGAAGAATTGTGGCAGAAACATGTATCGCTTCTTCTTTTGAAATATCGTCAAGTTGCTCTTATAATATCCAATTCCACTAATCCGCCCTATAAACTTGCTTATGAAGCTGCTGTAACGAGTTTGTAAGTTCTTTATTTTATTTATTCTATTTTTCTGATTTTAATTTACATAATTATCATAAATTAAAAATATTTCAATTATCTTTTATTAGATTTGCAGCAAAATCTAAAGAGAAAGTTAATATAGATAATCTTCTCAATGATTTGTCATCATTACAAATTTCTGATGACTCTCCTGCTGTACAACAATCTAAATTTCAAGAGACTTTAAAGGAGGTTGGAATTTCGATATCTAAAGTTGACAGGTAAACACGAGATGTATTTAAAAAAAATGTCAGAAAATATCTTGCTTGTGATATATTATATTTACCATAATTTCATATGATTTATTATTCAGAAAAATCTACTTAGCAGCATTTTCTGAATTAATCAATATTCA